TGGGGTCCTTCCTCGAGGAGCTGCTGGAGTAGCAGGTGCTCGGTTTGCTTGTGGTTGGTCGCCCACAACAAAGGCAATTCCTAGAAGTCCAAATGACAGGGTGCAGGAGGCCATGCAGGATCTTATTATCCAGAAGTGGGTCATTCTCTCCGCTAGGGAGGTCCCAGCAATCCGTTAAATTCGCCCTTGACAGATTGGTTCGCTCACCCAACACCTACTGTGTGTCCCGGGCTCGTGGGCACTGGGCATACAGCAGTGGGCGAGGCAGACCAGCCTGGTATCCGCGGCCTACCAGGTTCACAGGCAGCAGCCCCAGCCCCCCGGAGCCATGGGAAACAGTAAATGACTTGGAACACAGGAAGTCTGTGGCCTAAGAGCTTGTGTAGAGGCGACGGGCTTAAAATTTCTTCTTTTTTTTTCTTTAATCCTAACCCGAGGACATGCTCTTCCATTGATTTTTTTTTTTTTTTTTTTTTTTTTTTTTTGAGGGAGAGAGAGAGAAACATCCATGTGAGAGAGAAACATTCATTGGTTGCCTCCCTTGTGCTCCCCAACCAGGACAATGAACCCCTTCGGTGCCTGGGACAAAGCTCCAACCAACCGAGCCACCCAGCCAGGGCATGCTTAAATTTTCTTAAGTTCCTAAAGGTGCCTGTCACCACTGGAAGTGTCCCATTTCTGCCTCACTCCCCATGTTTATTTATAAGACATCACTTGGGTAAACTGAGTCTCCCGCAGCTGTGCCCCCTGCTGCTGGCCTTGCTGTCAGGGTGGAGCTGTACTTCCTCTCGATGACTTCCGAGCAGAGTCCCAGGTACTGATGGTGCGATGAGACGGGGGATTCCTTCACTCATTTATGTCCTTCACTTTCCCTTTGCACCAGGCCCAGGGACACAAAGGGAAAGTAAGACATAGACCTGGCCTTCACAGGATCCTAAGTTTTGGGTTTTTGTTTTTTAATTACAAAGGTAACACACCCTTGGGGCTGGCCACCGTGAACCACTTTGGTAAATGTCCTTCCAGTTTCTATGTGTATAAATAGG